ATAATAGCAACTTAAACGAATTTGCTCATTTCCAATTTATTAGTAGATGTTGCACGTAAATGGTCTTCCTAGATCTGGAACCAATATTTCCCAAAGACCTATAATTTCTTAGAAGGGGCCAAAGATTAACATTTATTATTGGGTTTTGACTGAAACGCATCTATATGAGATACAGACATTTGACTATATTCGTTAACGAAATAGTCAGAAGTGCGTCTTTCCTGTATTTGTGAATTCTCGAAAAAAAGTTGGCAAACTATTTCACACATTGAATATTTTCCAAAACTGCTTGGCTTTTGCAATGTCCGGTAACCCCATTTCAAATGTGCGTGAGGATCGGGCGATAATTACGACCTGCCGACAATTTTGCAGTTTTTTGGTCCATTTCAGCCCCTAAATATATGGCGATCATCTCCAAAAAGAGTAGGCTTCTATTCTGACCCTCATCTTATCCCCATGCAAAATTTCGTAAGGATCGGGCCATAAATGCGATCTGTATATGATATTCTGATGTCATAACTACTTAGTTTTGTTAGCTGTAGAAATATTACCAAATGTTTAATTCAAAATGAAAATATGCCAAAAATATGACAAAATTGAAAAAATATGAGAAAATTTAACAAAATCAATATTTTCATCTTTAGAGAGATATTTTTATGCGATTTTTTAGATGTTTTTTCTTTCCTGCCAAGAGGCCATTCTGAATTAATGAGAACTGTCGAAATCAGTTCAGCCGTTCTCGACATATAAGAGATTTTTCAAGCATATCTTCTTTGATAAACATATAAATCGCACATATTTAGCGATATATCCGTTTTGTTGGATGTTAACATCAATGTAAAGATCAGAAGTAACCTTGTCATGGCTTTGTGATTTCGCTGGGATTTAAAATATTCGCGGTTTAATGAAAAATTTTGAATTTTTTCAACACAAAAGATATGGTCTATTTTACCCGCTAAATATTATCCGATGACCACCCAAATTGGTAGGCTTCTTCCCCGTCCTAAACTCTAGCTACATGCTAAATTCCGCGTCGATTGGTCTATAATTGCGACCTGTATAGCTACTGCAAAATCCGACATTTTTTCAGTATTTGGTCCATTTCAACCCCTAAACATTTGGCGATCATCTCAAAAAGAAATAGGGTTCTATTCTGGCCCAACCCCGACCTCCATTCCAAATTTCGTGAAGATCGGGCCATAATTGCGACCTGTAGAGTGATTACAAATTAACATGGACAGACGGACAGACGGACAGACGGACGGACGGACATACATAGCTAGATCGACTCAGCTCGGCGAGCTAGGATGATCCATATATACTTTCCTATGTGGGAAACCAATATTTCGTGGTGTTACATAATTTTTGGCCCAATCAAACTTATAATACCCCCAACACATAGTGTTGTAGGGTATAAATACATTTATAGAAAAAAATAACAAACAATACTTTGAAAAATCCAAAAATTGGGTTTCAAAATTCTATTCCATAGACTATTCAAATTAAATGCATATTGTCTAAGCGGTTTAAATCGCTAACATTGCTAACTATGTTGTTACGATATTATAACAACAGAGGTATTTTCACAGGGTTGCCATATCTTGACTCTATCTTGTCCCATCTTTGGTAACAGCTCATGTCAGAGGCATGTTGATATAAAAACCACAATTACAGAAACCAAAGACAAATAAAAGTTTGAAAAATCAAAAAATATGGTTTCAAAATTTTATTCCATAGACCTTTCCAAAAATTTGCAATTGCCTTAGCGATTTAAATCAGTTAACATTGGCAGCTATGTTGTTATGATATCGTAACAACAGAGGTATTTTCACAGAGTTGCCATATTTTGACTCTGTCTTGTCCTATCTTTATTTCGGAATGGTCTCTAAGCAAAACAAAACAAGTAAAAAAGCTGTAAGTTCGGGCGGGCCGAACTTTTAATGCCCTCCACCATTTGGTACAAATTTGGCAATTTCCAAAAAAAAAAAATAAATTCCGTTAAAAATTCAGTTAAAATCTTAAAAATACCGAATGCTTATACGACGACGTGGGCCTGCTAGGCAACTTTTGTCATAAGTTATTACAATATTTTAATGAGAAACTAAAATCATCAAAATACCGAATATGGGGGTACCGTTATATGGGGGCTACACGAAGACGTGGACCTGCACAGATAATTTTCCGTGGACCTATATGGCCCATTTTCTGTTTTATGCTGCAGTATCTATTACGAACTTCAAATACCAAATTTGGAACGATTTCGCTAAATAATGTCGCTAAAATCATCAAAATACCGAATATCGGGGGGTACCGTTATATGGGGGCTACACGAAGACGTGGACCTGCACAGATAATTTTCTGTCTTAGACTGTAGTATCCATTACGAACTTCAAATGCCAAATTTGAAACAATTCCGGTGAATAATGTCGCTAAAATCATCAAAATACCGAATATCGGGAGGTACCGATATATGGGTGCTATTTGATAACTTGGACCTACATGGCCCATTTACGAACTTAACCTGCCTACTGGCAAAATATACATGTGTGCACAATTTTAGCCTTCTATCTCAATTTTTTCGAAAGATAGCGTGATTACAACAGACAGACAGACAGACGGACAGACAGACGGACAGACAGACAGACAGACACACAGACAGACAGACGGACATGGCTAAATCGTCTTAGAATTTTACGCTGATCAAGAATATATATACTTTGTTGGGTCTGACATGAGTATTTCGAGGAGTTACAAACGGAATGACAAAATTAATATACCCTCCATACTATGGTGGAGGGTATAAAAAAAATCGCGTAATATTATGCCAATAAAAATATGAATGAAAGCAAGTAAAAAAGCTGTAAGTTCGGCCGGGACGAACTTTGAATACCCTCCAACATTTGGAACGAATTTGGCAATTTTAAAAATAATAATAACCGTTAAATATTCTTTTAAAATCTTAAAAATACCGAATGTAGCCGTCATATTAGGGTCTAAACGACGTCGTGGACCTGCATAGGCAGTTTTTGCCATAAGCCATTACAGCATTCAAATGCGAAACTTGAAAAAATCGGTGAATAATGTAGCTAAAATCATCAATATAGGGATGTACTATTATATGAGGGCTATACCAAAATATGGACCCGCACAGACAATTTTCTGTCTTATGCTGCAGTAACCATTATGAACTTCAAACACGAAATTTTTAGGGAGGTACTGTTATATGGGGGCTCTAAAAAGACGTGAACCAGCACAGACAATTTTATTTCATAGGCTGTAGTATTCATTTCGAACTTCAAATACCAAATTTGATTCCGATCAATAATGTTGCTAAAATCATGAAAATACCGAATATCGGAAGGTACCGTTATATTGGGGCTATACGAAGACGTGGATCTGCACAGACAATTTTTTGTCTTATGCAAGCCTCACACGATACAACCGTTGGTACAACCTAGAGGGTTGTCAAGTTGTATGCTTCGGCCACAATCGATACAACTTTGTTTAAAACCCTTTGTACGACTTCCCTTTTCGAAGAGTTAATTTGAGTTAAGATGACACCGGAAATAATTTCGTGCTCTATAATTTACTTAATAGCCTTTATTTATTATTAATTATACCCTACACCACCTAGTGGTAAGGGTATTATGTCTTTCTGCATTTGTTTGTAACATGGAGAAGGAAACGAGATAGACCCATAGTTACTTTTGAGGATCTCCATAGAATCACTTTCTGAGTTGATTTATGCATGTTAGTCCGTCTGTCCATGTATTCTTGTGAACAAAATGCAGGTCGCATTTATTATCCGATTGAGAGGAAATTTTCCAAACAACATTTGTTTGGCCCAAGGACGAACCCTATTGAAATAGGAGATAATCGGTAAAAAATGAGATATAGCTCCCATATATATCTTCGTCCGATTTGCCTTTTATTGTGCACCAAACGTGTAATATCAGCCCGAATAGTACGTAATTTTGCACATACAACCAAATTAGACCTGAAAATAAGTATGCCAAATTTGATCGAAATCGTTTCAGATATAGCTATAGCCCCCATATATATTGTTCATCCGATTTGTTATTTTTGTCCTCCGCAGCCGTAATATGTACTCTGTAACAACAATATTTGGGGAAATATATCAAATGCAGCTCAGAAATACCTTTGCTAAATTTTATCGAAATCGGTTCAGATTTGGATATAGCTCCCATATATAACTTCATCCGATTTACCTTTTATTGTGCACTAAACGTCTAATATTTGCCCAAATGGAATGGAATTTGGCACCTACGACCGAATTGAGTTTAGAAGGTAGTATGCCAAATTTGATCGGTTCAGATATAGCTATAGCTCCCATATATATTGTTCATCCGATTTGTTGTATTTGTTACCCACAGCCGTAATATGCACTCCGTAACAACGATATTCAGGGAAATATATCAAATACAGCTCAGAAATATCTTTGCCAAATTTTATCGAGATCGGTTCAGATTTGGATATAGCTCCCATAGATATTTTATCCGATTTCAAATTAATTTTGCACCAAATGGGCAATACAAGTCCGAATTTAAATGATACAAATGCTTCGGCATATTTAGTCCTTTGAATTTTAAATTATAATTATAATCATAGCGTGTATGAGATTGAATTCTCCCATAAAAACTTTTAATTGTTATGTGGAGCTCAACTAAATTAGCAAAGTGGTGTAGGGTATCATAAAATCGGCCCCACCCGACTTTAGAACTTTCTTTACTGTTTTTTTCTGTAAACAATAAAATAAGCTGTCACTGGAATAAGTTGTCTAAAGTTGGTTGCAATTCTTTGATCTCACCCTGTATATACATTTTGTCTGGTCTAAAATTTATATTTCGAGGTGTTACGGAACAAAACGCTGGAGGGCATTAAAATTGTTTTGCCTTTTTTAAATTGCAAATAAAATGATCCGAAATCGAAATGGACTAATTCAAATTCCAAATAAAATAACTCGTGTTGCAAATGAAAAATTTGAATTAATAACAAAATAATTTTAATTGGAATTTTATAAATAAACACCTCGAATTATAATTGAAAACGAACGCTGCCTAGACGAAAGAGAATAGTTTTGACCAAACTACGTTCCGAAAGGTGCAGTCGTCTCAATTCGTGCAAAACGTCGTCTGCATCTTTTTAATTGCCCTGAAATACATGGATATTACAATTATTCTAAATAGAATTATTATAAATTTTTTGTTTACAAGAATCTAAATTAAATCTGGTATTTCATCGTTATTTCGTTTATTGCAAATATTCTTTATATCAACGGTTCCATTAAGAGTGGCTCGTCTAAAATATGAAAAAGAAAATATGTAATTTAGAAAATAAATACATTTTAATTAAATGCTGATACCTACTGTCGTGTTGCCGCCTTTTGATTGCATTCGTCCAAGGATTTTCCTGTAAATTAGGAGAACATATTTTTGAAATGAAAATGAATTATTATAAAATATTGTTTTCATTAAATTTAACCATTACAGAAAAATCTGATTCTTTCACATACAAACCACACACTAAACACTACCTAAAAATACTGAGTTTTTGGAAGAAAGCTTAGAAGAATTATCTCATCAACATCGCCTTTCATTCTTTAAAATGATCAGAGTGAGCGTTCGATTAGGAATTCAATTTTTTGTGAGTAGTTCAATATCATGGCAGAACTAGAAAGGTCAAGTCATGCAATCATACATTCATAACTGTTCAAATTTATTCAAATGAGCATTCCCAGCTCTGCATTATCCGCAATTTACCTTGTCAAATTTAAAGACATAAAAAACATAAATTTTGACAAAGGGATGTTATCAAAGCTATAATTAAAAAAATGTAAACATAAGGTTGTACTACTTTACCTTATGGTTGGTTTTTATACCCTACACCACAAGGTGGTCAGGGTATTATGTCTTTGTGCATTTGTTTGTAACAGGCAGAAGGAAACGAGATAGACCCATAGTTCCTTTTGATGATCTGCATAGAATCACATTCTGAGTCGATTTTTGCATATTCGTCCGTCTATCCGTCCGTCCGTCTGTCTGTCTGTCCGTCTGTCCATGTATTTTTGTAAACAAAGTACAGGTCGCATTTATTGCCCGATCCAGATGAAAATTTGCACAGATCATTTGCTTGGCCCAAGGACGAACCCTATTGATAATCGGTCAAAATTTATATATAGCTCCCACATATATCTTCGTCCGATTTGGCTTTTATTGTGTACCAAACGTGTAATAGTATGGAATTTTGCACATACAACCAAATTAGGCCTAAAACTAAGTATGCCAAATTTGATCGAAATCGATTCAAATATAGCTATAGCTCCCATATATATTGTTCATCCGATTTGATATTTTTGTCCTCCGCAGCCGTAATATGCACTCTACAACAACAATATTTAGGGAAATATATCAAATACAGCTCAGAAATATATTTGCCAAATTTCATCGAGATCGGTTCAGATTTGGATATAGCTCCCATATATAACTTCGTTCGATTTACCTTTTATTGTGCACCAAACGTCTAATATTTGTCCAAATGCGATGCAATTTGGCACTTACGACCGAATTGGGTCTAGAAGCTAGTATGTCAAATTTGGTGAAGATCTGTTCAGATGTAGCTATAGCTCCCATATATACTGTTCATCCGATTTGTCATATTTGTTACCCACAGCCGTAATATGCACTCCGTAACAACGATATTCAGGGAAATATATCAAATACAGCTCAGAAATATCTTTGCCAAATTATATCGAGATCGGTTCAGATTTGGATATAGCTCCCATATATATATTTTCATCCGATTTTAAATTATTTGTGCACCAAATGGGCAACACATGTCCGAATTTAAAAGATGCAAATGCTTCGACATATTTAGTCCTTGAACTTTAAATTATAATTATAATCATAGCGTGTATGATTGAATTCTCCCATAAAAACTTTTAATTGTTATGTGGAGCTCTACTAAACTAGCAAAGCGGTGTAGGGTATCATAAAGTCGGCCCCGCCCGACTTTAATGTTTTCTTTACTGTTTTTTGTTTTTTTGTTTTGAGAATTGCCAAATTCGTTCCAAATGGTGGAGGACATTCAAAGTTCGGCCCTGCCGAACTTACATCTTTTTTACTTGTTTTTTTTTTTAAAGTGATAATAAACCAATCACAATAAATTTAACGTATTCTCTCCTTCGTCTTCTATATCTACAAATGAAAAAATGTTTGTAATTTGAAACAATTCCGGTGAATAATGTCGCAAAAATCATGAAAATACCGAATATCTGGGGGTACCGTTATATGGGCGCTATACTGAAACGTAGAGCTATTTAGATAATTCTCTTCTGAGGGTAGAGTACTCAAAAAGGACCCCATGTGTGGTTTCAAAGACAATTCCATTAAAAAAATTGTCTGAAATCATTACAACACCGAATATCGGGGGTATCATTATATGGGGGTTATACTATATCGTGGACCAATAAATAATTCTATTCTAGGGGATAAAGTACTCACAAGGAACTTCTTGTGTGGATTTTCAGACAATTCCATTGGAAAATGTGGCTTAAATCATCAAAATACTGATCGGAGGTACCGTTATATGGGGGCTATACGACATCGTGGCCCTATATAGATAATTCTCTTCAAAGGTTAAAGTACTCAGAAGTAGGTCCTCATGTGCATTTTTAGACAATTTCGTTGAAAAATGTAGCTAAAATCATTAAAATACCGAATATCGGGAGGTACCGTTATATGGGGGCTATACGCTATTGCAGACCCATATGAATAATTCTCTTCTAGGGGTTATAGTATTTAGAAAGAACTCATTGTGTGGATTTTCAGACAATTCCATTGGAAAATGTGGCTTAAATCGTTAAAATACTGAATATCGGAGGTACCGTTATATGGGGGCTATACGATATCGTAGACCTATATAAACAATTCTCATCTAGGGGGTAAAGTACTCCAAAAGAACTCCTTGTGTGGATTTTCAGACAATTCAGACATTTATTTCATTGAGTTACAAAAGGAATGACGAACTTAATATACCCTCCATACTATGTATGGTGGAGGGTAAAAAACGAAATCAATAAACATAACATAACATAAATTGGGTGATACACTCAAATTCCTTGGACAAGATGGGTATCAACTCCAAATCGGTCAAGATCTGTTTGCTGACTTGGCAGCATAAACTATGTCAAACTGATGCTACTTCTGAAATTCTAGAGATAATAAGCGTTGTCAATAGTAGCCATATCTAAATAGCCATATAAAGACGACGAGCACATATTTTTCAACCTGAAACCAAATGGTTGTGAGTATTTTCCAATTTGATATCATCCCCTAAATATAATAGTTGCCTACACGTATGCAATATGTTTTTTTTTTTTTGAGCCTGTCAGGTGGATGGATGGAAATTTTTAAATTAAAACAAGTAAAAAAACATTAAGTTTGGCCGGGCCGAACTTTTAATACCCTCCATCTTAGGGTAAAGGAAACATTGTGACCCACAAATACCAATATATTCGTGGGAAAATATCGCAAAAATCATCAAAATATCGAATATCGGAAGGTATCGCTGTATGGGGCTATACAAAAACGTGGACCTATACATACAATGTTTCGGCAACGGTGTTAGAACCCATGAGGACACACAAATACCAATTTTTAGACAAATCCGCGAAGAAATGTGGCAAAAATTATCAAAATACAGAATATTGGGAGGTACTGTTATATGGAGACTATACCAAAACATGGACGGATATATCTCATTTTCAATACCAACCACCCTAGACACAATACAAATTGTTCTGCCAAATTTTGACATCAAATAATGTGGGTTGTATCGTGATTTCAACAGACGGACAGTCGGACAGACAGACGGACATCGTTAAATCGACATAGAATTTTATGCTGATTATGAATATATATACTTTATGGGGGTCTACGGCGAATATTTAGGGATGTTACAAACGGAATGACAAAGTTAATATACCCTCCGTCCCAAGGTGGAGGGCATAAAAAAATATTCAAATTCGTTAAAATTATTGAGAAATGCATACCATAGCATAGACAAATGAAGATATAGACAACGAATAGGTAGTTTTGTCTTTTTATCCAGGTGGCTCTCATCATGTTTTGCATAGTCAACATGCTGATTTACGCGTTCAAGCCACTCGACTTCGAAAACACATTTTATAGTTTTTCAAGAATTTCACTGGAATATTCTCATTTTTTTCGATGTCACTGCATAGTTTTCACTTGTATTTTATTATGGAACAATTTTCAACTGACAAATATCCTACAGTTTTTGTTATTTTTAACGTTTTAGAATTGAGTGACTTCAAAATTCCCACTCAAACCCCTGAAACGATATAGACGACATCTGCTGATCCGATTTTTTTCGAAGATGAACGGTGAGAGCATTTCGTTGTCTATATTTTCATTTGTCTATGACCATAGCAAACTCCGATTGGCGTCGTATAACAAAACATATAAAAATTACTTATTTAAAAGAAAACCGTGTTGGCATGTTTGTTCGGAATACCATAGTATTTTATTGTTGTGAAATGGTCAGGCTTAATCCCATTATTGCTGTTTGTATAAAAACAACGTTTCAACTGAACTGATGAGGATTGGTGGCTCTTTCCGAATCCTAGGTATACCCTGCCTTAACCCCTGGTAAACATTACCATCGTTCTCCACTGATAAACAAACTTTATTTTTATAAAAACAACAATAATGGGATTAAGTCTGACCATTTTGCAACAACAAAAAAAAGAACTTGAAGATGTTTGACATATCGATGTTCCCAAGCGTTGATGCATCTACCTCTATTCTTCTACCATGGTGATGATGAATATGACAATTTTAATCCAAATACAAACACATACTTCGTCCTTGTATGATTAAAAAGTCTGTCCACCCTTGAATAATTCCTATGATGGCAATATATATGAGACGATATCCACTTAAAATGTATAACTTACCTTCAGGTTTAAAAGCCAAAAGTTTATTTTCATTTAATTTCGGTGCTGTAATAACCAACTGACCCGTAATTTGTGAACGTCGAACAGTGGCCGCATATGGTTTAACTTCTTCGTTGAGTGCGATTTGAAATATTTTTCCTTTTACCACAACTCGAATGTAGTTGATTTCAACATCGACTTTAAGGTGAGATGTTTCAAGGTATCTGAAAGTTATTATAACAATATAACAATTAGTATAACAATAATAGTGAAATATTACGAAATATAAGTTCGGCGGGTCGATTTGTATACCCTCAACTACAGAGGGGTATATATCATTTGATACGGCTAAATCGTATAGACCCCAAGTCTCTTTGGACCAAATCCGTTGAGGGGATTTGTAGTTGATCTAGCGATGTCCGTCCGTCCGTCTGTCTGGCTGGCTTGTGTGCACCATAACTCTCGATCGTAATATTATTATCAAATTTAGATCGAGTTCGGAGATGGGCAATATCGGGCCACTCCTTCTCTTAACTCTCCAAAAAAGGTCGAAATTTTTAGTCAGGCTTAATCACATTTTTGTTGTTTTTATAAAAACGACGTTTGTTTATTAGTGGAGAACGATGCTAATTTGTACCAGGGGGTAAGGTTTACCCTGCCTTACTCCCTGGTAAACAGAGAGAAAGATGAAAATGTTTATAAGTGCGGTTGTAAGATTTAGACAATTTTTCAAAAGAATTTTAGTTTTATTTAATTCTTTGGTTCCTCTTCTAGCTTTGGTTCCTCTTCTATGTTTTATTGTCATAGGAGTTATTTTTAAAATAACTCCTGGGGAAAATATCCCAGACAAAAAACGAGGGAACTGATGAGGATTCATAGCTCTTTCCGAAACCTAGGTCTTCCTGGTAAACATTACCATTGTTTCCTCTAATAAACAAGCGTTGTTGTTCTTATGACAACAATAATATGGTTAAGCCTGTCTATTTTGCAACATCCAAATACTATGGTGTCCCGAACAAACATACCAACACTGTTCTAAAAATATTTTACGGCAGAGAATGAAAAAGGACAATCCATTTTTGCTTCAAGTTTGAAAATCCTAATGTTTGGACAATATCGGCCCACTCCAACAAGTACCTTCCCCACAAAGGGTCAAAATTTTGAATAATTAAAAGTCTTATAAAAAGTGATGTAAGAGTCCGTTTGCCTTCAAATTACACATATCACTATATTTTTATTCGGCGTGTCGGGTGTGTAGACGGAATATATCGGTCTACTCCTTCTGGTTTGTATAGGTCCACAATATCCCCCCAATATATCGGCACCTTACGATATTCGATATTTTTAAGATTTTAACAAAATTTTTAATGGACTTATTTTTTGTGAAAATTTCCTAATTCGATCCAAATGGTGGAGGGTATTCAAATTTCGGCCCGGCCGAACTTATTGCTTTTTAGTTTTTTTTTTTTTTTCAAGTTTCGTCTTCGTATAGACCCTAACAAAACGGCTATATTTGGTATTTTTAAGATTTTAACAGAATTTTTGTCGAATGTTTTTTTTTTTTTTTGAAAATTTCCCAATTCGTTCCAAATGGTGGTCGGCCCGGCTGAACTTACTGCTTTTTTACTTGTTTTTTTTTTTTTTGTCAATAAGAATTTTCAATTCCAATAGGCATCCTATAAAATTCCATATCAAAATAGAAAAGTCAATTCTTTCAGTTCCTCGATTTTTATAGAGGCTTTTCTCAAAAATTTCTATCAGAAAAAGAAGATTTAAGTCAAATCGGACAAGCCGTTCTCAACTGATATACTTTTTTAAATTTTTTACATATAGATTTAAAAAGTAGGTGTTTCCAGTTACTCTGATACGTAGGGTTTGAGGGAGAGCCAAGATTACGTCGTATACTAACTGTGGAACAGATATCTTCATGATCTTGGCAAATATTAGGGTGTGAAATTGGGCATGATCACTTTTTTTTCTTTGCATAAAATGTATAGGACGAACATTAAGAAAAAGATATATATATCCAAATCGTTCTAGCCGTTCTTAACTGGGTCAATAACCAAGGAACAACAATTGGTGTTTATATATATATACTCGTACTCGTTTGTACAAAAAATTATGCAAATCGGTCCAGCCGTCCTGATTTCATTACCAACGAACTTCAATTGATTTTTATATATATATAGATTTAGGACCTACTCCATAGAGGGTCAATAATTTGAAAAATCATAACAGAAGTCGAAATATATTTTAATAATCGAAAATTGGCTGAGGGTATACATCTGTCGGCAAAACCGACTGATACTTAGGATGACTTGTTTTATAATGTATAGAAAATTCTATCTTTATGGTGGCAAGTTTGCTAGGCAGAGTTTTCGGGATGGGAAAGGAAAGGAAGGAAAACTGTCAGCAGTGGGAATTTCACTGTTTTCTTGCTTTTTCCATTTAATTTCATATCAATTTCCATCCCTATTACCCCTCTTCCTACAGAGACTTGCCCAATATAAATTCGAACCTTCATGTGATACTATTTGAAATTCTGTATCACTTTTTCACGTTTTCAAAAATTAAATAGGTCGGGAAAGTGGTATTTTCTTTTTCCATCAGAGGGTTCCCTAACTCTATGATGGAGAATATTAAAGCCAATTTAATTTAAATTTTACAATTATATGAGGGCTATTACACATTTCATATCACTATTTTATACTTTCTATCAAGGCTAGAACCCAAATGTCAAATTATAGCCAGATCGGTTGCAAATCAACTTCAAAACATTGAAAATACTAACAACGACAGGTACTCTTACATGCAGGCAATACCGAAACATGAAAATAAGTTGGAGGTACATAGTAAGTCGTCAAAAAAAAACATATGCCCATACATACTTATAAACATCCAATTCCAGAATATATTCGTTAGCTTCATCCTTCAATTTGAATGTGAGTTCCGGTTTATTGAGATTGTATGGACGACCACATGGCGCAAACAACGTTGGTTCCTTTTTAATTGGTTTTTCAGTTTCACCTGTATTTTTCTTGTTACGACACTGCTTTTGATACCGCGCCATTTCGATGCGTATCTCGGGGCAATTTTCGCTCGTGGAATCCCAAAATGTTTTAATGCGTTCACTTTCATCTTCAATAGTAGACATTTTTGCTTCCAACTGCTGCTTCTGTTGCAGAAAACGTATCTTCTGCTCATCTCGTTGCATAGCATAGACGGCCTGTCGCTGAACAATAATCGCACGATATTCCCTAAGATGTGGCTTGGCTTGCAACTTCTGCGTGGCCGTTACATCTTGACAATCCAAACTTTCCAGCTGGGTGAGAGTCCCAATAACATACTCCCGATAATTGGGATAATCACTACATGGATTACCCGTCAGAATGAGAGTTTTCAAGTTGTAATTCTCTGTCAGACACTCAATCGAAGTCAATTCACCAATGAAATTCAAAGTTAAATCCAATTTATTGAGTGATTCCAATGGCTGTAGATTTTCCACACGTTCGATATTGTTCAAGGCCAAATTCAGATATTCCAAACGTTTCAGTTTGTAAAGATTTTCGATTTTTGCAATCAGATTTGATTGCAGCAGCAGGATCTTCAAGTCTCGACACCAATTCTGAAGATGTTCAATGCGTTCGATGTCCTCCTGATGCAGGGACAGTTCTTCCAAGGTACCAATAAGCATTTCATTATGTTCTGATTTCTTTCGCACCAATTCTTCTGTAACTAAATTTCAATATTTAATATGTTTTAGAATTTAATATAATGGCTTAATTTGTCTGTGTTACTTACTTCGAACCATGTCGGTCTTTAATTGTTTTTTTTTTTTAATCAAAATACAAAAAATAACAAATTTATTTGGTTTCCATGACGACATACTAGAGTTGCCATTTTTATGCCCTCCACCATACTTGGAGGGTATATTAACTTTGTCATTCCGTTTGTAACTCCTCGAAATGCTCATGTAAGACCCAACAAAGTACATATATTCTTGATCAGCGTAAAATTCGTAAAATTCGTAAAAATTCTGTCTGTCTGTCCGTCTGCCTGTTGTAATCACGCTATCCTTCGAACGAATCAAGATAAAAGGCCAAAATTTTGGAGACATGTTTATTTTCCCAGTAGGCAAGTTAAGTTCGAAAGTGGGCCATGTAGGTCCACGTTATCATATAGCCCCTATGTAACAGTACCTCCCGGTATTCGGTATTTTGATGATTTTAGCGACACTATTCACCGGAATTGTTTCAAATTTGATATTTGAAGTTCGTAATGGATACTACAGCCTGTAACAGAAAGTTGTCTATACAGGTCCAGGTCTTCGTATAGGCCCCATATATCAGTACCTCCCGATATTCTGTATTTTGACGATTTTAGGTATAATACTCACCGAGATTGTTTGAGATGTCGTATTTGAAGTTCGTAATGGAAGGTACAGGCTGTAACAGAAAATTGTCTATGCAAGTCCAAGTCTTCGTATAGCTCCAATGTAACGGTACCTCCCGGTATTCGGTATTTTTATGATTTTAGTGACATTACTCACCGGAGTAGTTTCAACTTACGTATTTAGAGTTCGAAATGGGAAGTACAGTCTGTGACAGAAAAAAGTCTATGCAGGTCTAGGTCTTCGTATAGGCCCTATATATCAGTACCTCCCTATATTCGGTATTTTGACAATTTTAGGTACAATACTCACCGAGATTGTTTGAGATGTCGTATTTGAAGTTCGTAATGGATGATACAGGCTGTAACAGAAAATTGTCTATGCAAGTCCAGGTCTTCGTATAGCTCCGATATAACGGTACCTCCCTATATACGATATTTTAATGATTTTAGCTACATTATTCACCGTTTAATTCAAGTTTCGAATTTGAATATGGTAATGGCTTATGACAACAATGCCTACGTAGGTCCATGTCATATAGACTTCAATATAACGGCTATATTCGGTATTTTTAAGATTTTAACAGAATTTTTAGCGGATTTTGTTTTTTGAAAATTTAAAAATTCCTTCAAATGGTGGAGGGTATTCAAACTTCGGCCCGGCCGAACTTACTGTTTTTTAACTTTTTCTTTATTAAATAGGAGAAACATCCTTTGATAGAGTGAGCTGCATAACTGGGACCTTCTTCTTATACTCTGCATCACACTGTACCAACTTGGACCAACATTTGTTTGGTCCAAGGAAGAACCGTATTGAGATTAGAGATAATGGGTCAGAAATACTTTGCCAAAATTTATCGAGATCGGTTCAGATTTGGATATGGCTCTCATATATATACTTTCACTCTATTTCAAGTTTATTGTGCACCAAATAGTTAAAATAATCCCGAATTGAATGGATTTTGACAAACACGAACGATGTTAGCCTGGAAGAAAGTGTATCAAATTTGGTGAAAATCGGTTAAGATATAACTATAGGTCCCATATATATGTTTCATCCGATTTTGTATTTTACTCCCTCACACCCGTAAAATACTCTCCGACAACAAAGATATTCGGTGCCAACTATCAGATACAGAATAGAAATACCTCTGCTAAGTTTTATAGAGATCGCTTCAGATTTGGATATTTGCCCCATTTATATCTTCACCCGATATCACGTTTATTGTGCCTAAAAATGGTAATATCAGATCAAATAGGATTAATTTTGATGAATATCGGTTCAGACACAAATGCCTTCGTCGAATTTTGTAGAATACGATAGAAACCTGCCAAATATTAGTTCATTTCGACTTTAAATTATAGCTGATTTAACGATTCTCATAAATTCCTAAAAAATCAATAAAATCAAGGTAGGGCTATGATACCATATGATTTCAATTTTTTTTATTTTCTTCCTTGATATATCAACTTTATTTGTTTATGTTATTACTAGCTGGCCCGGTCCGCGTTGCCGGCCCGTAATTTTAGTCTTTAATGCTTATTATATCCCCCACCTTGGAAAGGAGGGTATATTAACTTTTTCATTCCGTTTGTAACATCCCTAAATGTTCGTCATAGACTCCGTCTGTATGTCTGTTTATTTAAATTACGATACAGCCCATATTATTTGACGTAGAGCTTCAAAATTTAGTAGAACAATTTGTACTGTGTATAGGATGGTTGGTATTGAAAATGGTCCACGTTTTGGTATAGTACCCATATAACGGTACCTCTCGAAATTCGTTATTTTGACGATTTTTGTCACATTTCTCATCGGATTTGTCCGCGTTGTCGGCCCGTAGTTTTAGTTCATAATGCAAATTTAGCATAGCATAATATTTCACAAATCTAGCTCATAAAGGTGAACAAATTTTAATATAAATATTGATTCGACTAAATAGAAATAAATAACGATGGAAGGAGGGCAAAATAATTTCTGAATAGTCAAAGTTAATTACGCTTTTACACCCATTACCATAGCACCTCAAATTGCGCATTAGAGTCCCCAAAAAGTCTATGTTCTTGTTCATAGTAAAATTCAATGACGATTAAACAATACCCGCGTTGTTGTCCGCCAATCGGTAAACATCACTATAGATCGGCGGGCCTGGGGACTATATGGGGACTGTACCAAAATATTTACGTATGTTGACATTTTTCTGTAAGACGGTTCTCTACTCACAAAGTAGCCTAAATACAGCAAATAATGGCCAAATCAGTTGAAAAACGTGGCCAAGACCACGGTCACAGCTGAAATCAGGGATACATTTATATAAGGGTTATACCAAAACGTGGCCCAACCAATATTCTCTTGGGGGTTACAAATTCAATAGAAAACAAAATTTTCTTTTCTGACCACCAATTAGATGTGAAAGTGGACTTGGAGATACTCCATTGTGGGGACTTTATTTAAATAAATTCCTGTGTGGCAATTATCTGTATGATGGTTCCCTACCCCAGGGTAGCATAAATACAATTTTTAGCCAAATCAATTAATGAATATGGTCAAGACCAAAATGGGCCCTACTCTGAAAATTTCAAACTTTATGCGAAGAGGTTTTCTACCTCCTTAGAAACAAATATGCCAAATAATGTCCAAAATATTAAAAAAGTGACCAAGACACCAAAAAAACTTAAATCATACGATGGTTATATAAATATGGAATCGGGTTGTACCCTTATCCGTGAGTTATGATCGATATCATGACCTGACGATTAAAGGTATCACGAATGTTTGGGAAGAATTTCTGCAAGGATAGAAATTCTTTTCTTACTAAGAGTCCCATTCGCTCTACTATTTTCCACCCTTTATATTTGGTATTTTTCTGATTGTACATTGGACGGATTATTGTGACAGGAAAGAAGTAGTTCCACGTTTTGAAATGAGCCCCATTAGGGTTTTTCGGTAATTTTCGTTTGTTCAAATGTGTTCGCATCTTCCAGCTGAACCACGATGTCGGCCCTGGAGTTGAAAGGTAGATGTCAGTTAACATCGTATTTCCCACTTATTTAATTTTTGGGTGAAAATTTGTATATAGTGAAAAATTATTTTTTATTTTGTTCACAAAAAATTTACTGAATTCAATTAGATAATACAAATTGAAAAAAAAAAGTGACAAAAGAAGAATAACACATTGAAAAAATCTTCAACTTGTTCGCTGATTATTTACAGAAAATGTTTAAAGATCCTTATATAGTTTGTCAATAGAATGTACTTCTATTTTAAAATTCGATTCCATTAAATTATTTCGACATCATCTATTCCGTTTCGCCACCACATAATTCGGTACTACACTTCCATGTAACTCGCCATCAATTTCATTTCTCAAGAAATCAAGTCAATTAAATAAATTGGTATTAATATTTGAATTCAAAAAAAAAAAAAAAAATAAAAATAAAAATAAAAAAAACACTACAAATGTACATTAGAAAAAGTAAGTCAAAATGGAAAAAAATTATGCAAAATAAAACATTACTATTGTACATTTCAAAAGTCAAAATGAAAATGTTAATATAACACATTTTTACGCGATTTTTTTTGGATATTATCCTTTTCGGAGAGGAGACAATTCCGAATTTGTATGAATCGTTAAAATTAGTCCAGCGGTTCTTAAGTTATAAGCGTAGTAACTAACACAACTTTCTTTTATATATATAGATTATTTTATTATTTTCAATAATAAAAAATTTTCAGAAAATATTCAAATTCGAGTGTTTTCAAAATGTTTGTTGCAACGTATGCATCTACAAAATCTACAGTTTTTGTAGCGAAATAATCCTTTAGAGATATATAGTACATGATTTGTAAAGAAGTTCTGACCTTTCATTCAGTTATCGCGTTTTTCAATTATTTATCTATATATATAAAAGAAAGTTGTGTTAGTTACTACGCTTATAACTTAAGAACCGCTGGACTAATTTTAACGATTCATACAAATTCGGAATTGTCTCCTCTCCGAAAAGGATAATATCCAAAAAAATCGCGTAAAAATGTGTTATATTAACATTTTCATTTTGACTTTTGAAATGTACAATAGTAATGTTTTATTTTGCATAATTTTTTTCCATTTTGACTTACTTTTTTCTAATGTACATTTGTAGTGTTTTTTTATTTTTATTTATTTATTTTTTTTTTTTTTTTTTTTTTGAATTCAAATATTAATACCAATTTATTTAATTGACTTGATTTCTTGAGAAATGAAATTGATGGCGAGTTACATGGAAGTGTAGTACCGAATTATGTGGTGGCGAAACGGAATAGATGATGTCGAAATAATTTAATGGAATCGAATTTTAAAATAGAAGTACATTCTATTGACAAACTATATAAGGATCTTTAAACATTTTCTGTAAAAAATCAGCGAACAAGTTGAAGATTTTTTCAATGTGTTATTCTTCTTTTGTCACTTTTTTTTTTCAATTTGTATTATCTAATTGAATTCAGTAAATTTTTTGAGAACAAAATAAAGAATAATTT